TGGCGCTGTCTGAAGTGCGCCATTTGTTTTCGTAATCAGCAGGGCCAGACTTGTTGGGCGGCCTTGCCTCCTGAGGTGAGAAAGCTCACGGAGGTTAAGACAGATCCGCCAAATAGGTTTAGAAACTCCAGGGTTCGCTAGGGACTAGCTTCCCCCAAAACGACCGAAACCTTTTCCGAACCCCTCCGGCAACCTTCCCGAAGGGTTCCGGGAGGTTTTTCGGAGTGTTCTGAAAGGGAGTCACAAGGGTTTTGGTCGTTTCAGAAGGAAGCCAGTTCCTAGCGAACCCTGGACTTCCTAAACATAGCTTTTACGCGTGAAGGGCTTAGTTGCTCATTAATGATTACAAGGTGCGGGGCTCGCACCTCTGGCCAGACCAGGAAGTCTGGGACCCCGTGCATTCGGGCTTGCACCCAGCCGCGGAACCAGTTGTCGTCAGGTCGGCTCCCTTGGCCGAAGCATCCGCTCGTCTCGACACCCTTGCCGCAAACGAAGGCAGCGAATTGCGGTCCCAACCCGAGCACCTAGAATCACAATCGTTTTTCACCCGGCCCGCTCGACCCAGGATCAAAGGGGTACCCATCGGTCGTTGAAAGTAGGTATTTTTGGATTCCCAGATTCCAATCTACTTTCAGCGCCTTCCTACTTCAAGAGTCGAGTGGTTTTCCCTCTTCCTTCCTCTTCAGGAGGCGTGCGGAGACCCAGTCTATTTCCAATGCCTTCCTACTTCATGCTTCTACCTACTTCTTCCGACCGATGGGTAATGCGAGAGCCACTGGAAATTGAACAGCAGAATATATGGAGACAGAGCATGAAGGTGGGAGTGAGGAGAAGAAGAAGAGGACGGAGGGAACGCGTCTCCGCCGGAGGAGTGTGGGATCCACCGGCGGCGCGCGGTTCGCTGCTGCGCCGCAGCCGGACAGGCCGGCGCGTTGACCCGCCCCGAGGTCCTGAGGGCGGGCAGACATGCAGGGAGCGGCTGTCGTACGCACTTCACGGCTAGTTTCTCTGCCTCTGCCCATCGTCATCGTGCTGCTTCGCCGAGGCGTGCCGCATGGCTTCGCCGAGGTCCTGAGGGTGGGCAAACATGCAGGGAGCGGCTGTCGTACAGTCGGGGCGCCGAAGAAGGGACCCTTTTCGTCGGGGAGGGGCTCGGCTCGTTGTTCCTTTGTTGTTCCACGCCTTGCCTAGGGTTTTCTTGAAGTTTTCGATGGGAGATCGAAACTTTTAACTTATCGAGAAACGGCGCCTCGTTCCTTAGTTAGGGTTCCTTAGGTCAACGCCTCGACTGTACGCACTTCACGGCCAGTTTCTCTGCCTCTGCCCGTCGTCATCGTGCTGCTTCGCCGAGGCGTGCGGCACGGCTCCTCGCCATGGCTGCCACCAGGACCCCTGCATTCGTGGGATCAGGTGAGCACCCAAGCACCTGGAGAGCTAACACTTGACAGCGGTGACGATGCTGAATACGACGACGACGGTGGTGACGATGGTAAGGATGCTGCTGGCGGCGATGTGTGTGTGTGAGGCTGAGAGAGGAGGATCAGGAGAAGGATGTAGAGGGGAGGCACGGCGGGTTTCGGAGGGGGAGGGGAGTGGAGATGAGATGAGGACGAGGCCGCGGAGGGTGCTGTGGACGTGGATGTGAGGGCGGGCCTGGCGCGGGCCGATCTTTGCCTCCACACTTGTGTCGTACGAGGGGGCAGGTGGCCGGGCATCTTTGCAGAGCCTCCTGTGTATCCTCCTTCCCACCTTCCGGCTTGGCATGATGTGTGGCGTCTTCCCGCGCAGGCCGCCTCCTGATGGCGATGATGATCCGCCGACCGCGCGCGTGTTCCACAACGAGTCATCGACGGCCCGCCTGGAGTGCTGAGAGAGAGAGAGAGACATATAGAAAGAAAGAGAGAGAGAGAGAGAGAGAAATAAAGAAAGAGAGAGAGAGAAAGAAAAACAGAGGGAGGAGAGGGAGAGTGCTGAGAGAGAGAGAGAGAGAGCGAGAGAAAGAAAGACATACAGAAGCAACGAGGCGGGTCTGACGGCGGAGCAGGCTGACAGGCAGGGCGGAGCAGGTTGGCGTGCAGGACCAAGCGAGACTCCTCTACAGTTTAACCCGTGTACGTAGTGAGGATGAGCGATTTTCCAAGGTTAACGTCGGGGCCCTGAAGAAGGAACCCTTTTCGTTGGGGAGGGGCTGCGCGTTCCTTAAGTGTTTCACAGCTTGCCTCAGGTTTTCCTTATGTTTCCGATCGGAAATATTTAGGGTTCCTTGGGTCAACGCCCCAACTGTACCGTCGCATCCTTCCCCTTCGGCCCATCCCTCGAAATACGCCCACATGTCTTTCCGAGGCCATTGCACCCTCATCGCACTTCCTCACTATCGGAGACGCCTACGGCGAACCGTCCGAAGACCTCAAGACGGCCCCAGAGGCCCCCACGATCGCCCCAAAATCGCTCACGAGGCCTCGAAGATGGCTCCATGACGGCCCCAGAAGCCTCCAAGAAGGCCCCAAGAGTCCTCCAAGACGGTCCAAGAGGCTTCCAAGACGCCCAAGATGGCCTCCAAGACGGACCCGAAGCGCGCCAAGAGGGCCCCAAGTCGGTTCAGAGAGGCCCCCAAGACGGCTCCCGACGGCGTCAGACGGGCCAGGAACGCCATAAGACGGCCAAAGAAGCCCCCGAGAAGCTTCAAAAGGGCCCCATGAGGCCCTCAAGAGGCCCCAAGAGAGCCCAAGATAGCTCCAACATGGCCTCCAAGACGATCCCAGGATGGCCCAGTCGAGCCCAAGAGTGCCTCAAGAGGCTGCGAAGAGGCATCCTCCCCCTTCTCCTTTTTCCTTCTTCTTCTCCTCCTCCCCTTCCTCCCCCCCGCGTTCCCCGAAACCTTTCCAAACCGACTCGGGGAACTCATGGTCCGACAGCTTGGCCAAGCTCTAGTCGAACTCTCGGCCACATAGGCGCTTCCACAAGGGCGGGGGGCGGCGGTGATTCGCCGTAGGCGTCTTCGATCTTTTGTGAAAATAGCCAAAACCCAAACCGAAAGAGTCTAGCACGCCGGGCATCCCTGCGATGAATCGACAGGGGGCGGCGGATCTAATAGCCTTTGGCTCATCCCGCCAACATGCCTTGGTTCTGGGCATGACGCTTATTTGATGTTCGTTGGGATCTCGTGGGCGGCTTCCCGGGGGCCTCTTGGGGGCCGTTTGGGGGCCTCTTGGGGCCTCTTCGCCTTTTGGGGGCCTCTTGGGGGCCTCTTGGGGGCCTCTTGGGGCCTCCTGGGCGCCTCCTGGGGCCTCCTGAGGGCCTCTTGTGGCGGAAGGCTCGGATAGTCGGGTCGTGCTCTCTTTTTTGGAGCCCTTTTGGGGCCGTCTTGAAGCCTTCTTGGGCCGTTGTGGGCGCCGCTTGAACTGTCTTGGGGCCCTCTTGGGCCGTTTTGGGGCCGTCTTGGGCCGTCTTGGGGCGGTTTGGGGGGCCTCTAGGGCCGCTTGTGAGCGTCGGGAAGCCGAACAGGCGAGAACTGTGGACCATTTTGAGCGTCTTGGAGCGATCGTTCGGCTCGGGGCTTCCTTGGACCGTCTTGGGGACTTCCTTGGGGCCCTCTTGGTCCATCTTGGGCCCGAAAAGTGACGCGACAGGCCGCGACGCAGAGAGGTAGAGGAGGCGGTGGAGGAGGAGGGAGAGGAGGAGGTAGGTAAAGCGGAGGCAGAGCAGAGGAGGTAGAGGAGGAGGTGGAGGAGGAGGGTCCATCATCCCACCACATGGCAAAGAGGCTGACCACCATCATCTACGTCGGCTCTTCCTTCACATCTTATTTCTTTGGCAAGGGCTGGAGTTTGATCCTCATCTTCATCTTCCTCTTTGGCTTGGTTTCCTTCGGGATTGGCCACATCCATCGTTAATCTTTGTGCGACAGGCCGCGGCGCCATCATCTACGTCGGCTCTTTCTTCATATGTTGCTTCATATGTTTCCCAGGCAAGGACTGGAGTTTCATCCTCATATTCAGCTTCCTCGTTGGCTTGGTTTCCCTCGGGATTGGCCACAGTCATCGTTAAATCTTTGTATCGACAGGCCGCGACGCGCCCCAGAACATTTGGGCCAAGGGGCTCCGAACCCCTCAAAGAACTCCTCAGGAGTGACGGCTGAGGCTTAGAGGGGGTAGTAAGAGGCCCTGAGGACACGCCCACTCCATGCCCAGAGGAACGGTGGCGAATACAGTGGGGACCCATGCCAAGAAGCACCCTGCTTGCCTCCAGGGTGCCCTGGGTTTCTTGGCTTTCGATGGTTTTGCGACGGAAGGCGTGCCGTCCCCGCACCAACAGTCCCTGGACGTCTCGGGGCCTCAGGATGGGGTTTTGTTGTGGAAGGCTCCTCGTGGTCGGGCCTCCACTGTATGTATGGGTTGGCTGCACAGTTCGAGCATCTCTGTCCGCTGCTTTGGCCGTGCTCCGCCCGCGGCCCGCTGCATGCCCCCTCCGTGCTCCCCTCGGCTCGAGGCCTCGGGCCCAGGAGAAGGCTCCGGAGAGCACCGCTCACGAGGGCGCCCGGCCAGCCTTTGCGTGTCGCGGGGGCGCGCCACGATGGTGGGCGGCGAGCGCCTGACGGGGTACCTGAACAGGATGGGCCTCGAGCCCGTGGACGTGCCACGGGTCCTCATCCGGCAGCGCGGCCAGGGGAGGGGAGGTTGAGAAGGAGAGGGCCTTCTGAGAAGGCCAGGAAGCCCCCGGCCTTCCGAGAAGTTGTTTCAATGCCTCCCCGAAGACACAGAAGACTTCTCAGAAGGCGCGAGGGCTTCTGAGAAAGCCTGCCGGATTCAGGGAGTCAAAGTGCTCATTCGCAAACGTCCGAAAACGTAAGTTGGCCTCGTTGTAATGGATTGCAGATCCCCCGTGGCGGAGCCAGGCCACTTGCGAGCAGTCACTCTCACTCTGCGCGTCGTGGAGCGCGCTTTTCTAGAGAAGGCATCCTCCTTCTCCCTTCCCCCCTCGCTCGCCGCCGGCCCATGTACTGGGTCGCTGCCAAGTACACTACGGCCGGTGCCTGCATCGTGCTCGGCGCCCGGTACAGGCCGCTGCAGCGCTGCTTCGCGAGCCGGAGCGCCATCGCACCCCTGGGCTCCTGGGCCCGCCGGCAGCAGCTGCGCCTCCGGGAGGCCGTCAAACCAGACTTCGGCGACGCGCACGGCGGCGTCGGGCGGCTGCGCAGCGCGCTGAACGCCGCCCGCAGCCGCTACCGGGCCGCCGGGCAGAGCGCGCTGGAGACGGCGGACCGCTGGAAGGCTGCCGGTAAGGATCCGCTGGTGGCCTCGGCACACCACCTCCTCCTCCCCCCTCCTCCTCCTCCTCTCCTCCTCCTCCTCCTCCTCCTCCTCCTCCTCCTCCTCCTCCTCCTCCTCCTCCTCTCCTCCTCCTCCTCCCCCTCCCCCTCCTCCTCCTCCTCCTCCTCCTCCTCCTCCTCCTCCTCCTCCTCCTCCTCCTCCTCCTCCTCCTCTCCTCCTCGCACGCCGACCCCCCCGCGTCGGCGTCGCTTCCGAGGCGTCGTCGACCTCTTCGGCCCAGGGGTGGTGCGGCGCGCATCTTTTCGGCCCTCGGCGCCGAGAAGCGGTGCACCGCACCGCGTTTGAGCGGGGCCCGACGGGAGCCCACACACGGGGCGCAGGGGGGTTCGCGGTCCCCGGCCGGCTCGGGTTTGTGTCGCCCGTCGGTGGCGCACCGGTCGGTCTGGTTCGGTCGGCTCTGGTGCCGCTGCCGCTTTCGGCCCGTCGGTTTCGGTCGCTTTCGGTTTCGCTGCTGTCTCGTAGAGTTATCATTGTTCTTTATTATTATTATTATTATTATTATTATTAGTATTATTCGTATTAGTATTGGTATTATTATTATTATTGTTGTTATTATTAGTATTATTACTATTAATTTTTTATTATTTGTATTATTATTATTATTATTATTATTAGTAGTAGTAGGAGTAGTAGTAGTAGTAGTAGTAGTAGTAGTAGTAGTAGTAGTAGTAGTAGTCGTAGTCGTAGTAGTAGTAGTAGTAGCAGCAGCAGCAGTAGTAGTAGTAGTAGTAGTAGTAGTAGTAGTCTTATTATTATTCTTCTTCTTATTCTTTTTTCGTATTCTTATTATTATTACTACTATTATTATTACTAGTATTACTATTATTATTATTATTATTCTTATTATTATTCGTATTGTTTTGGTTTCGGCCCGTCGGTTTCGGTTCGCGGCTCCGCGGGCGCCGTTCTCGCAGAGAGGACCGCTGGAAGGCCGCCGGCAGGCGCGCGCCGCCAAACAGGCAGATGCTGCAGCACCAGCGCCGGGCCCTGCAGCGGCTGCAGGAGGAGCGGAGGCTGCTGCGGCAGTACGGCTGGTGCTTCTGGGGGGAGAACAAGCACACAGACACAATTAATCTTAGGTCGGGCCTGTCCCCCTACAGGGTGATTTTCGACGAACAAAAAAATACCCCCAAAATAATCCAATCATAGTCCAAAAATAGGCTGGGGACTTTTTGTTTGGAGTTTTTTTATTGTTTTTGTCTTTTTCGGGGTATTTTTGGGGTATTTGTTTTTTGTCGAAAATCCCCCTGTAGGGGGACACGCCCGACATAATTAGTCATCGCCTCCCAGGAAAATAGGGGAAACTATGGGAAACATGAGGGGGGATGCAAGATCCCAGAACATATGGGAAAATGTAGGGAATCCTGCTATTTGTGTGTATTTATTAGTGTGTCCCTGAACCCCTTTAGGTACGTCTGGAGCTCAGAGAAGTACTGGCATTTCTCCGACAAGTTCCGAGCGTCCGCTGAGCGGAGCCCGATATGGTCGTGGCTCACCCGAGCGCTTGGGAGCAACAACCCCAAGGGCCTGGCCATCGGTGTAGCGGAGGGCGTGATCGTCTACAAGCTAACTTTCCCAGTCCACGGGCCACTTTTGCTGTACTTGATCGCGCAGGGCTTCATGATGCGCCAGGCCGTGTAGGAGGATCCAGTCGCGATGTGCCCTGTGCAGGAGCAGGCCCGGGAGCACGAGAGCAGGTGTGCCTTCAGGCTCGTAGGGCAGTCGTTGGCTGTTTCACTACATCGGCGAAGACGCATTACAGGCAGCCGCCGCGCGAACCTTGTCAGGAGCAACCGCCTCGTGCAGGACTCCGCTTGCGCCGCGCGCGAGGGCGCGCGGTCGCACGGGTCGGTGGCAGGATTGGAGGGCGCGACGCTGGAGAGTTGCCTTGCTGCGCTTCTGGGAAAAACGCACCTTCGGCCACGCGCAGAGGGGGGCAGGGGGGGAGGGGGATGGCTTCTTAGAAGCACCCCCGCCTCTTAGAAGGCGCGGGCCTTCTGTGTAGATGCAGGAAGGAGCTTGTTCTACCGTTGCTGGCGGAAAACATGGGGGGGGGGGGTCGTTGGGATTGGGGGTTCCAACCCGTCCCCCGTCACCCCCTCTCGAAAACCCGGGGGGGGGGTCACTGGGGGTTCCACCCCCCCCTCCCCTGCCTCCCCGGTCCATCATGAAAAGGAGGGAGGGGTCACTACTGGTTCGAACCCCTCCCCCCCCCCTCCTGGAACACCGGGGGGAGTCACTACCAGTTCGACCCCCCCCCGCCCTCACCGCAACGACTCCCCCTCCTCTCCCACTCCGGATGGGAGACTGGTGGGGACTGGTTGAGACGGTGGTGGGAATGGTGGTGGGGAGTGGGGCCAGTGGGATGAGTCGGACCGTGGTGGGGACAGTGGTGGGAACAGTGGGGGCAGTGCGACAGTGGTGGGGGCGCTGGCGGGTACAGTTGGGACAGTGGTGGGGACTGTGGGGACCGTTGGACAGTGGTGGGGACAATGGGGACACTTGAACAGTGGTGGAGACGGTGGTGGTGGGGACAACAGTGGGACAGTGGTGGGGACTGAAGTGGTGGGGACAGTGGTGAGAGCGGTGGTTAGGACGGTGATGGGACAGTGGTACAGTGGGGAGAGTGGTGGGGACAGTGGGGATAGTGGGACGTGGTGGGAACAGTGTGGACAATGGGGCAGCACAGTGGGACAGCGTTGGGGATAGTGGGAACAGTGGGACAGTAGCGGGGACAGTGGGGACAGTGGGACAGTGGTTGGGACAGTTGGGACAGTGGGGAGAGTGGGATCGTGGTGGGGACAGTGGTGGGGACAGTGGGGGCAGTGCGACAGTGGTGGGGGCACTGGTGGGGAAAATGGGGGCAGTGATGGGAACAGTGGGGACAGTGGGACAGTGGTGGGGACAGTGGGGACAGTGGGACAGTTGTGAGGGCGGTGGTGGTGGTGGGGACAGTGGTGAGGGGACACTGGGACAGTGGTGGGGACAGTGTGACAGTGGTGGGGACGGTGATGGTGAGGACAGTGGTGAGGGCGGTGGTGAGGACTGTGGTGGGACAATGGGACAGTGGTACAGTGGGGAGAGTGGTGGGGACACTGGGAAGAGTGGGACCGTGGTGGGGACAGTGGGACAGCTCAGTGGGACAGCGGCAGGGATAGTGGGGACGGTGGGGCAGTGGTGGGGACAGTGGAGACATCGGGACAGTGGTGGGGACAGCGGGGACAGTGGGGAGAGTGGGACCGCGGTGGGGACAGTGGCGGGGACAGTGGGGACAGTGCGACGGTGGTGGGGGCATTGGTGGGGACAGTGGGGACAGTGGTGGGAACAGTGGGGACACTGGGACAGTGGTGGGGGCGGTGGTGATGGGGATAGTGGTGAGGGCGGTGGTGAGGACGGTGGTGGGGACCCGGGAGTCTTTTGCCGGCGGCGAGGGGGAGGGGTCGGGGGGTCGAACCGGTAGTGACCCCCTCCAGTTTTCTGGAGGGGGGGGGAGGAGGGGGTCCGAACCTGTAGTGACCCCCTTGGTTTTGGAGAGAGGGGGGGGGAGAGGTTAGGAGGGGGGGCAAGGGGTTTGCCAGGGGAAGGGGGGGGGGGTGGGGGGGGGGGGGGGGGCGGGGGGGGATTTTGGAGGGGGGGGGGGGGCCCAGGTTCCGGAGGAAGATGGGGGGGAAATTTCCACAGTAAAGCTGCGGTGGATCACGCCCTCTCAGATGTAGGGCCGGCGCCTTCTAAGAAGCAGCCTCCTTCTAAGAAGCCTTCCCCACCTCCCCCTACCCCCCCCTCTGCGCGCCGCCAACACCTCCCGTGGGTCACATCTGATGCCGCTGCTGCTTCGTGTTGCTGCGTGCTGCGTGCTGCTGCTGCCGCTCCCGCGCGTGCTGCCGGGCCAGGGCATTTTTTCTGCGGGCGTCGCCACGAGCTGTGGAGCGGGCCGCGTCCTCACGCGGCAGTCGCGTCGGCCGCTCTCGGCAGATCCCGTCACAGTGCTTGTTGGCTGTAGCGAGATCTTCCGTGCCGAGCGGCTCTGTGGAATGATTTTGGGACAGTCTAGGGCATGTCGCCATTATTCAGAGCGTGAATTACCTACCCCGCTTTCGCTTCCAAGCCATACCACGCGCCTCCTCGTCAAGCGGCCTGACCAGTGCAGGCTGCAATTTGGCATCGTTTGGTATCTCTTGGAAGCGAGGGTGGTCAAAAGCGAGGTAGGTTTCTTTTCCCCCTAATTGTCGTTGCTGGGCGTGCCTGGAGCGTTGTATGAACGTTTTTGTTCAGACTTACTACCTGCGTCGCTCCAAGGCAGCCCGAGAGGCCCCCGTGACGGCTCCAAGACGGCCCCAGAGGCCTCCAAGATCGCCAGCAAGCACCCAAAGAGGGATTCATGACTGCCCAGGGAGTGCCCAAGACGGCCTCCGAAGGCCACGAGGCCCCCAAGAGGACCCAAAGAGGTCCCCCAGAGAGCCCAAGAGGTTCCAGGAGGACGGTCAACACCAATGCGTGTTTCTGACTTTTTCCCAGCCGTCCTGTGGTGTTGGGCCTCGTTTTGACGAGACAGCGCCCCGCGTCTCTCCTCCTCCTCCTCCTCCTCCTCCTCCTCCTCCTCCTCCTCCTCCTCTCGGGTCGGGCGAAAGGGGGGGATTGGGAAAGGGGGGGTTACGAAATTTGCTGCATGCAGCTGGTTTCGGCCTCACCGAGGGGCCAATTCCTCGATACATGGCCGCTCCCGGCGCCGGGAGGCGCCGGGAAAATCAGCTACGTGAGCTGATTCTCAAACCCCCCCTTTGCTATCCCCCCCTTTCGCCCGACCCGATCCTCCTCCTCCTCCTCCTCCTTCTCCTTCTCTTTCTCTTTCTCTTTCTCTTTCTCCTCCTCCTCCTCCTCCTTCCCTCCTCCTCCCACCCTTGCCTCTGGCCTCTGCATGTCCACGATTTCAGCGCACCCGTCACAGCGCTTCGTGGCCTACTGGCGAGCTCTGACGAAGGCTCCAGTGGCTGTGACCACATACGTCCCGCGCCATCCAGTACGGCGCTTCCTGGTCCCGTAGGGAGCTCCACCGCAGGACCCAGTGGCTGTGACCACATGCGTCCCGCGCCAGCCTCATAGGGTGCTTCACCTAAGGACCCAGTGGCTGTGACCACATGCGTCCCGCACCACCCGGTATTACGTTTCGTGGCCCCATAGGGCGCTCCACCGAAGGCCCCAGTGGCTGTGACCACATGCGTCCCGCGCCACCCAGTACGGCGTTTCGTTGCCCCATAGCGAGCTCCATCGAAGGACCCAGTGGCTGAGGGCGCTCCACCGAAGGCCCCAGTGGCTGTGACCACAATGCGTCACGCGCCACTCAGTACAGCGTTTCGTGTTCCTACAGGGAGCTCCACCGAAGGCCCCACTGGCTGTGATCATATGTGTCTCCCCCCCGCTCATTTCGGCACACCCCTCACGCGCTTCGAGGCCCCATAGGGAGCTCCACCGAAGGCCTCAGTGGCGACGCTCGCATGCGCCCCCCCACCCAGTGCGGCAAACCCCTCACGCGCTTTGTGGCCCCATAGGGAGCTCCGCCGAATGCCCCAGTGGCGACGGTCGCATGGCGGCCCCGCTCCATGTCCGCACACCCATCACACGTGTCATGGCCCCATTTTGAGCGCCACCGAAGGCCCCAATGGCGGCGCCCGCATGCGTCCCCGCCCCATTTCGGCACACCCTTTACACGCTTCGTGGCCCCATACGGAGATGAACCGAAGGCTGTACCCACAACGGCGATGCTCACAACTGCATATGGTTGGGCCCTTCGCCAAGATGATTCAATTATTTGAGAGTTCTAGCATTTTCTGGTTTCCGACGCTCCAAGACCGGCCCATAGGCCCCCAAGATCGCCCCAAGACGGTCAGAGAGGCCCAAGACGGCCTCCGAAGGCGCAGGGGGCCCACGGAGGCCTCCAGCAGTTCCCCAAAGAGGCCCCAGGAGAACCCCAAGAGGCCCACAGAGGCCCCCAGCAGTTCTTTTGAACACATGAGCATCGACAAGTGAGTTCTCTTGAAACCATACAGCGACGATATCAGGCTAGTGCTATCGCGCTGAACACCTCTGGAAAGAAACGAGACCCCAAGAGGCCCCTCAGAGCCCCCCTATAGGCTCCCAGGAAGCCCCGAGGAGGCCCCAAGAGGGCCTCAAGAGGCCTGCTCCTCATCCTCCTCCTCCTTCTCCTCCTTCCCCACCCTGTCCTTCTCGTTTGTCCTCCTCTCTCCCCAGTGTTGCCCCAAAAGGGTTCCACAACGGCTGGCGGAACCCATAGTCTAATAGCTTGGCCAGACTTCGGCCCATCGTTGGGCCAGTTGGGCGTTTTCAAAAGGCAGGGGGCGGCGGTGATTCGCCACAGGCGCCGCGGCGGCCCCGCCCGTGGCGCCGCAGGCCTCGCGGTCGGCACGGCAGGCTGCCCGCGAGCAGTGCGGGGAGCTGGACGCCGGCGTGCGTCTCGATGCCGTGCCTGGTGGTGCAGACGGCGATGCGATGGGCCTCGAGACAGCGGCCGTCACCGGGAGCACGGAGGCGGGCTTGAGCAGCTGCAGCGCTGCCTGCTGGCAGCGGGCGCACGGGCATGGAGCTCCTGCGCTTTGGCTGGCGGCGGCGCCCGCCGCCGGCGGCGACGAGGGGGTGTGCGAGCTGACCGACGAGTGGGCCGACGCGGCCCCTGCGCAGCGAGCCAGGCTGCCTCCGAAGCCGCCAGAGCTGACCACTGCCCGTGCCGCCGCATCCGCCGGCCAGCGGGTGCGGGGCCCCACACCCGCTGGCCGGCGGAATTCGCCACCGGTGGCGCGGGCCCCCGGGTGGGAGTTCGGGGGGAGGTGCTCTGTCTCCAGCCCAGGGGCGCCTCCCTCGCCTGGGTGCTCTGGGAGGGCGCGGGCGAGCC